AAAAAAAAAGAAATTAACTTCTATTCTAGAAAAACAAAACACAAAAATTTCAATTAACTCCATCAAAATGAATTTTTGCTATAAATTCTTCTTCTTCAATTGGGATTACTTCTATTCCTTGATCTGTTTCATACATTTCTAGTTCATTTGGAATTTCTTTGAATACTTTTTCAGTTTCTTCTATTTTCATAATGACTTTATTCCCATTTCTTTCAATTGGAATTTTAATGGTTGACTCTCCTCGAGTAATGACTATTTGATATTGGTCTCCTTCTTTATTAACTTCTCCTTTCATTTGTAGTTCTAAAGAGCATTGTGCTTTAGAATAATTCTCAAAGAAATCATTTGAATTCATTTCTCCTTTCCTTTTCTTTGGAGTTACTCTTAATAATTGAATATGAGTTTTTACATCATCAACTAATGCACCTTCTAATATGTTTGGACTTTTTGCAACAATATCATATTCTCCTAATTCTGAGTAAGCTTCACCTCTTAAAAATGACTTTTCAATAATATGAAAGGTATTTTCTTTTCTTGTACCTTCAAATCTTGTTTGACAATTATGTAAGCTAAACCATGTAATAATCCCTTTTACATTTTTATCATCTTCCATCCACATTTGGAATGTATATTCTTCATTACTTTCAGAATATGTGATCTTTCCTTCAAACACACTTCCTTTCAAATCAAAAATTTCTTCTTCTTGACTTTGATTATATTCTTCTTCTTGTTCAGTACTATATGTTCCATCTTCAGTATGTTCTGAATTAAACTCATCGTCATATTCTTGGTCATCTTCTTCACTACTTTGAATGATAGTAGTTTTAGTATCGTTTGGTGTATAATGATATTTGTTTTTAAATCCATTTTCATCTTTCTCAAACTCAGCAACCATCTCATCCACATGAGTAATCCATTTTTGGGTGATTTCATGAGTGTTGACTTTAACCTTTCCATCAAAACAATCAGAAATCCACTGTGTCTCATATATCTTTGTTCCATTCGTTTTGCAATGTTGAACTATCTTTTTAATTTCATTATTGAATTGGTCACTATAGTTCATTACTATTTCATCCGCAATAATATAGTCATTTGTGATGGTTGCTCCAAGAGATTCAGCCTCAAGACGACAACGTGATTTTGAATATTCTCTCTCCCCATAAAAAAAAATAGTGTCATGAACCAATGTGTCAATAGCTGCATTTTTAACAAGTCGAACACGTTGGGGATTATCTTTCCGATGTTGTAGTGCACATAACCCTGTGATGTCTTTTGGAAGTTCACCAAATAATCTATAAATTTCTTTAAGATTAGTTATTTCAACATATCGTTCATCATCAACATCAACACAAAAGTTATTTCCTGCTTTATTTAATATTTCGTTTTGTGCTTTTCCATAATCAACCCAATTAGTATCATCATACCACTTCCACATGTTAAAAGAAAGGATGTTTCAAAGATCTTATTTCTCCTTTTTCTTTATTTTGAGATAACAAAACTGATGTATATAGCAAAATATGCGACATCCAATATTTTATTATTGCAATGAACAAGCAATAAATATATATTATGTCAAATTATAGGTTTCTATAATAACTTCAAACTTCTTAAAGTAAGAAGTGATTGGGAAACCACTATTATATTATTTCTATTCTTTTGTAATATCATAATATTGAATATGGAATATGATTATGGGAGTAATTACCTAAAAATGTAAGACAAAACAAAACACAATAAAAATAACAACAAAAAATAGAAATAAAGAAAGTGGAGAAGAATTAATCACTTTCTAAGTTTGATATAAAAATTATTTCATCTTTTCAAGATTTTAACTTGTTTTTTCATTATACATCATGTCAGACCCATTAATGGTAACTTTGTCAGGAATTAGAGGTATTGCACAAAAATCTTTATCAGAAGCTGTGATTATTAAATACGTTAAGGCATTTGTTACAATTCAATTTGAAGAACATCCAAAAAATTCATTGTATATTCTTGGTCGAGATTCACGTGTAAGTGGTCCATGGGCAGAAAAAATAGTTATTAAGGCATTAGAAGAGTGTGGATGTAAAGTACTTAATTGTGGAATTGTCCCAACACCAACTGTACAAGTAATGGTTCAACAACACCAAGCATGTGGAGGAATAATTATTACATCAAGTCATAATCCTAAACCATGGAATGGATTAAAGTTTGTTGATAGTGATGGATTATTTATTGTACCAAAGAAATGTGCTAAAGTGTTTACATTGGCTGATGAAGGAACTTTTATTCATCAAGAAGGTGGAACAACTCAATCACTTTCAACCGCAATAGATGAACATTTGAATAAAATTCTATCATTACCTTACATAGATGTTGAAGCAATAAAAAAACAACACTTTAAAGTTGCAGTAGATTCAGTCTGTGGTGCTGGAGGACCAATAATGACTGAATTATTAACAAGACTTGGGTGTGAAATAATACCTCTTAACATTAAACCAACAGGAGATTTTCCACATATTCCAGAACCACTTCCAGAAAACTTAACAGATTTATGTCATATTGTAAAAGAGTCTAAAGCAGATTTAGGAATAGCAGTAGACCCAGATGTTGATCGTTGTGTATTAATAGGTGGAGATGGAAATCCTATTGGAGAAGAATATACTCTTGTTTGTGCTGTTTATTTTGTATTAAAGTATTGTGGTAAACAAGGAATTGTTTGTAAGAATCTTTCCTCTTCAAGGGCAACAAGTAAAGTTTGTGAGAAATTTGGGTCAAAATGCTATAACACTCCAGTTGGTGAAATTCAAGTTGGTATTGGAATGAAACAATTCAATGCAATAATTGGAGGAGAAGGGAATGGAGGAGTTATGTTACCTGATGTGCATATTGGAAGAGATGCAATGGTAGCATCTACATTAACATTAATGTTAATGACCAAAGAGCAAAAGCCATTAAAAGAGATAGTTAGTCAATTACCACAATTTAGAATTTATAAAACCAAAGTTGATACAAATAAAGTCAATGTTGACAAAGCATTTGAATTAGTTAAAAAAACATATCAACAAGAAGAAATTGATGAAAGAGATGGACTTTATGTTTCTACAAAAGATTTTTGGGTTCATTTAAGAAGAAGTAATACAGAACCAATTGTTCGTGTTATTGCTGAAGCAGAGTCATTAGAAAAAGCCAAAGAAACAGCAGAAAAAGTTATGAATATATTACTTTCTGCTTAACAAAGATTAAAAGAAGATTATTATTAAATGATATAAGCAAAATGCATTAAGTTTCAATTTTTTATGAAAGAAAAAAAGGAGATATTATTTGTATTAAACTAAAATTATTTATGGTCTTGTTTTATAAACAAATGTTCTTGAAGGTAATGGAGGATTTTGATGTTGTAAAGACTCACAAAAAGTTTGTTCTTGAGCAATTTTATAACCATAAATATATTGAGGAATTGTTTTTAAGAAACAAGATGAAGGTGGAAGTAATTCTGGATATTCAAGAAAGAAATTAGGAATAAACCAAGGTCCAAAATACGCACCATCCAACACAGATTCACTGTCTGTTGAATATAACTTTCCACAACAACCACAATAAAGATTCATTGGATATTGCTTAATGATATATGATCTACCATAAGGTAATAAATGATATCCCTATATATAATTAATTTTTACTGTCAGTAAACATCTTTAATCAAAACATAAAAATAAACTTTACAATTTGGATTTCTACAACTTCCCCAAAACCCTTCTTCCCATGCTTTTTTTGCATGTTTACAACCATCATATGTGAGTAAATATTGTGCATGAATTTTTCCATAAAGTTCAATGATTTCTTTATCTAACTGATCAATATCAGGAAAAACATCACAAAATTGTTCTATTTTATCATCACCACCATAGATTTTATTTGATAAACACAAAAAGATAGTATTTTGAAAACTGTCATTTGGATCATACATTCCATAAGAGTTAAATGGGTCTGCTAAATAACTTTTATCAATTGATAACAACATATCTTTTAAATAATAGTCAAAAACTATTTCAAAATAAGTTTGTGGATAAAGCTTATTCTTAAGTATAGGAATAAGAGGTTCAGATTCTCTGCGTTTCATTAAAAATAGTATTAATTAAAATAATCAGAATATCAATGATTTTAAAAAATGAAAAAATTTCTTTATAATGAAATAGTTTAGATAATAGTTTATTAATAATTAGAAGTATAGTTTAAACTAAACTAAAATAATAAAAAAACTATAAAAATAGTAAAAAATGAAAAAAATAAAAAACCCTTCAGGGTTAAAATAAGTTTCAAATAGAAAGAAATCAAAACAAAGAAAGACATGGAAATAATTGGACAAGAACCGAGTAAAGAATTAATTAATGTAGAAACATTTGATGATTATTTAATGATGACATCATCTCAAGTTCATAAGAATATTTATGCATTACAAACGATTCAAAGTGAATTTAGAAAACAACGACTACATGGATTTGAAAAGATATATAATATAGAAAGGAAATTAAGAGCAAATTCAGAACCATTAAGAAAAAGAACGGTTGAATTAATTAAAAAAATCCCATGTTTTTGGGGAAGAATTATGAATGTAGCTGATTTAAATTATAATAATTTAGGAGATGCAAATGCAATTCGATATTTAACAGAAGTTATAGTAGAAGATATGCCATTAACAATATGTTTTTTAGGAGATAATAAAACACCAGCACTTTCTGTTCTTCATAGAGTTAGATTTATTTTTCAACCAAATCAACTTATGAAAACTACAGAAGCAGTAAAAATTATTTCATATAAAGTTTGTGGATGGAATAATCCTGAAATGGAAATGTTAGAACCAGAAGTAGAAACTGAAACTCCTATTGTTTGGATGCCAGGAAAAGATCCACGAGTTTCTAGACCATTTAAAAAAAGAAATAGAATTGAAGGAATTGCTTCTCAACAACAAAAAGTTATTCCAAGTTTCTTTCATTTGTTTGATGATTTAAAACATGAAGAAGAAGATGGTGAATATTCTCAAGTTATTGAAAATCAAAAAGAAGAAGATAGAAAGATGCAATTTAAAATATTAATGGGATTTGTTAATGAATTTGTAGACCAAGCCATCTCCTATTTTGATGAGAGTATTCCTAATAGAGTACATCCAGAAGATTATTTTGATGAACTCGATGGTATTGAAGAAGATACTGATGAAGAGTTTTTAGAAAGAATGGAAGAAGAAGAAATTCCAGACCATCTTCAAAATCCACCTGATTGTAATGCTCAGTAAAATTTTATGTATGTATGATTTTACATGAACTGATTGATTGTCTTTTTTGATGTCTGTTGTCTCTGTTTAAATTTTGATTTGTTAAAAAGAAGAAGAAGACATCATTGTTTTATTTCTATTTTAATTTATTTTCTATTTATCTTTTCAAAAACTATCTTTCTTTAATTAACACATTGTACTTTCTTTCTATTCTTTTTTTTTCATTCTTTTATTTATTCAAATTAATCTAATCTTTGTATTAATTTCTTAATTAATACTTTTTTATCCATTTTCTTTTATTTCTTAAGTTTAAATGACTTTAAATTCTTTATGAAAAAAAGACTTTTATGTTTGTATTTAAAATTCATTCTTCTGTTTATTCATGTTGTTTTATTT